CAAGCCAAATGAACTTCGGACTAAAATCTGGGCCACTCAGAGGCCGCCATGTCATACCCCCCAAAACCAACAGAGTGAAGATGTCCGGAAGGGTCGTACCAGGGGTCGAAAACCGGTAGTCGGGACCCAAATGGTACCAATCCGACCACCGGGCACCCCGGGCCGGGACCAAGGAAGAATTGTGCCTACCGTACTTAAAGTGGGCGTAGCACCCGCGAGGCCACCTCTCCATCGTGCGGTGCACATGGATCATGGCAATTTTCCAGTGACGGCCGGAAAACCCAGTTCGTTAGATTATAGACGTCGGCATGGTTTCGGTGATGACGCCGGCAAATCCCGACGCCCACTTTAAGGAGAATGTTCTTTTCTCCAAAAAGTCGATTCTAAAATTGCATCTTTTCCTTACATACGTGTATGCCAATATGTATATTGGCAATTGGAGCGGAAAGGGAAAACTTTGTACTGCTACTCTGTTATATTCTCTTCTCCAAAAAAGTCAATGTCAATATTGCATCTTTTCCAGGTATGGCGGAAAATTCTGTACTACTAATCTGTTATAATTCCTTCCCCAAAGAAGAAAGAAAATATAACGGATTGCAGTATAAGCTTTGCGGTTCTCGGCGGAATTTGCTGATATGTATGTATCTAAGGATCGCCAGCTGTCAAAATTTTGTAGGGGAACGCCAATTTAGGACTTGGGGGATGCCAGAGGAATTTGGGAGATGTAACGCGTAACGCGCAGGTTCGGGTTTGTCTAGTTAGTTATATTATCCCGTGTCTAAACTAATTTGAACAATCATATAACTTTATAGGGGTTAATTTTCCATATTGAGCGCTATTGATATCATTCACTAACATTATCACTTTTAAGTTTGACCAGTCTACATGGTCATGCAAGTGATGCACCTTCTATACACATAAGTTTGATAATATGACCAAAAACACAAACTGTAGTACAATTACTTATATTATTCAAATTAGTCAAGATCTCAGCAGGTTTAACCTCACTTGTAGTATTGACACATCATACAGACACTTGGTGACACTTGGTCGCATAAAGTTGATAATATAACTAAAGATGCTAACTTTATAGACTTAGTTATATTATCAAAATTAGTCAGTCGGCTCAGCATAGCCAATTTCACTTGCATCATACAATTAGCAAATGCTTCTATAGGGCAAGACTCATCACTAATTTGGATAACATAACTAGTAACATTGATTTTAGCGGATTTATTTTATTATCTAAAGCATCGTAGCTAGAAACTTTCTAAAATGTATAGAAAATCTATTTGTCAAAAAAAAGAAAAGAAATACAGTAATCTAGTAATCTTATAGTTATATTAGTCGAATTATCCATCATGAGGCCTAGCATGTGCATAGGATTCGCCAAGTTAGTCTTCTTAGTTATATTACCGGAATTATTTGGTGCATGAGAGGGCTGGTGAGAGGAACTTAGTAATCTTAGTTATATTAGTCGAATTATCCATCACGAGGCCGAGCATGTGCATAGGACGCGCCAAGTTAGTCTTCTTAGTTATATTAGTGGAACTATCCGGTGCATGCGAGGGTTGGTGAGAGAAACTTAGAAATCTTAGTTATATTAGTCGAATTATCCATCACGAGGCCGAGCATGTGCATAGGACGTGCCAAATTAGTCTTCTTAGTTATATTAGTGGAATTATCCGGTGCATGAGAGGGTTGGTGAGAGGAACTTAGTATAATCTTAGTTATATTAGTCGAATTATCCATCAATAAGCTGAGGCCGAGCATGCGCATAGCCTGCCAACACTTTTGGGTTACCTTCTAACCAAGTTCTTAACCCGTTACGTAACCAGATTCCTCCAGCATCCCCCAAGACCTAAATTGGCGTTCCAATAAACTTTTGTCCGGGATGGCAGGGTATAAGCCGTGACCAGGACGCGAGGATCTCCTGTCCAACCCGTTTTCCTGTCCGCCTGTCGACCAATACAAACAATCCTGAAGTTCGCACATTTGGGTGGCATGGTTAAGGATAAACCAGGACCCAAAGGCTTGCGCTGGGGCCGGTATGGAGTCTGGACTCTGGACCCAGTGTAGGGGGAGTGTAGGTACATTAATTCCTGATTCAATCATGTGTATATTATTCGACCTTGAGCATGCACAATGAAAATGTCGTTCTTTTGTGATGCCATAGTTTTTCGCCGTACATCATGAGTTTGTGTATGAATATTTCTTAGTTCATCATGCATGAGCTATGAGTAGACTTTGATATCGACTGCAGTGCAAACCATATGCATATGAGAGTCATAATAGTAATTGAATTCTAAGTCCGTCGATTCGCTCGACCCGCACCCAACAGTGCGCCCGGTTGTAGCTAGCTCGGCTTGATTGAAAAATTCTCTTACAAAGCATGTGTAGGTTGAAAGGCTCATATCATATGCAATGATGATATGGAGCACCAGTAGTACGTACTGTATATGTGCAAAGCAGTACACGCAGCATACAAGCTCACGTATTGGAGGAGCCAAGTGGCGAAAGTGGTTACTCTTGTGATTCTGCATGTATCTATCATTAACAACTCATGTGACGTTGGAATCAAATGAGTTATAGATCGACACATTGGATAGATCCAAAACTGAACACCTTCATACGATGCGAGCAAAGAATTGGGTACATGCGTAAATTCGCATCTGGAAACGCTTTGAAGCGGCATTCCTGAGAACATGAGGGGTTCCGTGACGAGGTGCCCAACCTTGACTACCCGCCATCCCCAGGGCTGGTGCCGAGCAACAGTCCTACTGCCACAAAGAAGGGGGACCGAGTCGCAAGGGGACTGATCGAATCCCGTGACGTTCTCCAAAGCAGGCTGTTGCTTCGAAGAACTGCGTGCCTCCATATGAACCTCGTTACATTTCAGTCTAGACTTCATCCTCACTTTTTCTTTTCCTTCTCTCAAATGTTTCTAGTCTCTTTTCCCGCACCTATAGCGAAGACCCAGCATTGGTATCTTCTCTGAGCGGGGCTCTTGATGCCGGGCTACAGGCTTTGTTCTCAAGAACCCCAGACTTTGTCGCTGCGACTGCCAAGCACTTCCTAGCAGACGGGGGCACTACGTGCGGGAAGGACCAGGTATGTGCGGAAGAATGTGCGACACTCAAGCAGGGCTTATGTCTGATCGAACACTTTATCCCCTACACTTGGCAAGGATCCACAGAACGAATCGACATGTAACGTTCGACAAACTACATAATGTAGGCAGCGGCCGGACGCACTTGCAAGTTACGCATAGCGAATGGCAGTCGAGCCAGCAGACGATGGTCCTTTTGCAGGCTTGACGAGGACCCCAGGAGAGGCTTCAGGACGAAGGACCGAGGCTTGAAGGTACCCGGCCCGACTGCTGACCTGAGGGACTGGCGGGCCTGCAGATTGCAAAGACGACCATCTTGGTTTTCAACTGATACCAAGAAGCCTTATGATATGATAACACTACCGAGGGCTGAGCAAAGCCATTGAGTTAGTCCTCAATTGACAGCTTTAAATAAAGATGCTCAACGTGCCGCAATTTGGTGTACATGCGCCCCAGAACACACGTCTTAACGGACAATAGACAGCGTCAGATCCCGGCTTCACAATCAAGGAAACAAGCAGTATAGTTCAGAAGTCTTCTTCGTGTCCTCCGTCAAGCAGATATGTTGTGTAACACAGCATGCGTTTGTATACTCGCATCCTATACAAGTTCTGAAACTTATAACCTGAAATTCTTTGACCTGTCCAAAATTCTTCTGTGATGACCATTATTGGATCTGCTGCAACTTCAATCATTCAAAGGCCTTCTTGCCGATGTGAGCAACATGTGGGGGCACTGATTAGCAAACTGCTGCTCGATAACCCCGGTGTAGGATCATGCTGAGCAACATATCAGCAGGCTACACTTCCCTGAACGCAACTGAATCTTGAACCGAACATGAGACATGAGTCAGAGCGGAAGGGCTTCAAGACTGGCCACGACTGTCCAACAAGCAGTAAGAGCTCGGCAGTTCCCCAAGCCTTGTAAGGGGCTTCTTCCAGAATCTTTCAAATTTTGCGAAGCTTTATTGAAGACCTGCTTGATAAGGTGGTATGAGATTCAAAGCGGATGAACCTTATTACGTGTACAGGATGCAATGCCACTGCATCTTTGAGAACAATTTATTTGCTGCCAAAGGCATCTAGCGTAAGCAACTTCAAATCGCTTCAGAGTATTGCACGGGCTGGTTATGTAGGTGGTTTACAAGTATCTGTAAATTCAAGGATGCTTCAGATGAACCACAATTCTTATGTTTCAGAGCAGATTGTCAGAGGCCCCTACCGGAGTGCTGAGGGGCCGAACCAATGATGCAGATGGTGACTTCGGCGAGCCTGCGGCGCTCCCTGACTGCGGGCTGGGAGGGATCACGGACGGGGACTCAAAGCAGCCGTCCCCTGTCCCGAGGTCCGCGCCGTTGGGCAGCCAAATCTCAAACCCATTCTCTTTGCACAGCTCGACCAGCTCCCTCCGGTTGTTCTGGTTTAGAGTCACCCGCAGTCCACAAAGAGCTCCGCAGAGCCTCTTTCCCTTGAATTGAGACACTGCTTCAACCCCCTCCTCCGTCAACGTGCTGCAGCCCCCAAACAAAGGCATTCAATAGCCTCACATACATGAAACACAGCATTGCTAAAGAGAAAGTTCTCACTGATCAGGATACTTGACTGCTGCAAGTGCCATCGTGCTATCAATTAGACTGCACGCCAAGCAATTGAAGATCAGTTCAGAGTCCCAACTTCGGATTTGTGTGCTGATGATTGGACTTTGAAAGCATGCTTATAGCTCGCTGTCACTTGAGTGCTTTACGAGGTTCCAAATTTTATGTCAGCACAGCAACAACCTTGAACCAATGCGAACTTAACCAGTGTTTCAAACCTCACGTGAAGTCAAGTACAACCAACCGCTTGATAGCAGAAACGAATTTCTTGGTGATTGAGTCTCTACTGTTGACGATACCTGATTGTTTTCAGAGCCTCCTTCAACTGCTTTGCTGCATCCACGTCAAGCACCGCCTTGCACTCGACAACGATTCCGCAATTCTCTGCCGTCGCTCCAGCGTCGATCTCAACAACCACGTTGTCCTCTTTCGGTCGCTTGACCTAAGAAGCAAGGAAACATGTTTGATTTGAATCAATGCAGGTCCAGAGCTAACATCACAAGACTTCTTGCATTAATTGCTTTAACATGCGCATACCGGTCGACCTTGTTACCACTGGAAAATTCCTGAAGCTTTTGAAGCAACTTTTGAGATACTAAGCTGCTGTCAGCCCTTGGGTTAGGCAAGGCATTAGAATAGACCGGACATGCATACAAAGTACAAGTTGAGGGTATTTTCTCACCCGCTTTCCAGCGCAGAATCGTTTCACATCAGTGTGGCCAGCTTCCCGTAATCTCTGAACAGCACGCTCTGCGGCGGAAGCCTCAAAGCTTAAGGTCACTGACTCTTGCCACCGAGCCAGCGCCTTCAGCTGCAGCACCCATGGCGCAGCATCAGTGAAGAACATTCGTTGACAGAGGATAGTAGAATAGGGTGGCAGCTGCCAGCATATTAGCACTTGCTTGATTGAGCAGGTTGCTCAAAAGTAAGCAGGTTGCTCAGCATTGAACCTAGGTTTCAGAACTTGCTTTGAGGCTTAAGGGTGCTAGCTTGAAGGACATTCTGCGAAATGATTCATCAAAGTCGAACACACGGCTCGTTCTGATGTACCTGCTCTGTCAGGTTCGTAACCAGGAAGACCACCAGATATGTGCCACCGTCGTCGATCTGCACGTCTTCGAGCGGCTCGAGCTTCTTCTCAACCTCCCGCACAAGCTCGTCCTCCGTCCACTCCTCCCAGCCGGAAGGCAGGTCCTCGACTGGAAGCAAGGTCTGACCTCCCATGCTGCGCACAAGCGCTCGAATCTGCTCTCTGCTGTGATTCTTCAGGCCACGCCGCGAGATTCTGCTGTCTGCCAATGAGAAATACAGAAAGGATACCTTCTTCAACTTTGCCTCATCCTTGAACCCGAACAGCTTGCGGAGAACATTGAGAGCCATTGCCTAAGGCGCCTGCAGCATGAGAGTGCTCAATGGAAAAGGCACCGACAGGACAGCAAGCCAAATGAACTTCGGACTAAAATTTGAGCCACTCACAGGCCGCCATGTCAGCCCCCCGGCCCAGAAAGGTAGCAGGTCACTAGTGGAGGGGTCCAACCCGGTCGAAAGTTCTCCGGAAGCCGGTACGAACCCAAGTGTGGTTGACTGGGACCACCCGGGCACTCACTTAGGAACAAAAGCCGGTATTTTGCCTCTTGTTCCTAAGTGAGTAACATACATACATATTTACTAAAAGTCCCAAAAGGGAACAACCTGTACTGTTAATCTGTTATATTTTTCTTCTGAAAAGTCGCATATAATATACAATGGGATAATGTATGGTATGGCCTTACTACATACATATTCGCAACGTGGTCCCAAACGGAAGAAGTCGTACTGCTTATCTGTTATAATTTTCTTCTGAAAAGTCGCATATAATATACATTGGGATAATGTATGGTATGGTCTTATTACATACATATTCGCACTTGAGGCCAAAAGAGAAAGAGTCGTACTAATAATCTGTTATATTTTTCTTCCGGAAATATTAGTGTTTACTATCTTTTTGGGTATGGCCTTACTACATACATATCCGCAACGAGGTCCCAAAAGGACAAAGTCGTACTGCTAATCTGTTATAATTTTCTTCCGGACAGAAGAAAAAATTTATAACAGATTACAGTACGAGAGTGTTTGCCCCCCGGCAACTTTGCGAATATGTATGTATCTAAGGGCTATCCGATTTGATTTCTGGCTTCCCCACGCCCCCTCCGGGGCTTGGGTCGGCCGGTGCGCCCCCACCCTTGGGTCGGCTGCTTACCCCTAAGCTTGTACCAACCCCGGCCGCTCCGCTCCGGTTGCGCCCAGTCCTCCGGTTCGCACCCCGCCCCGGTCCAGGCCGGTCGCTTACCCCTAAGCTTGTAGTCACCGGCCGCTCCGCTCCGGGCCCCGCCCCTTCTAGGCCGGTTGCTTACCCCTAAGCTCGTACTCGCCGCCACTCCGCTCCCGGTCCCACCCAGCTCCCGCCCCTTGGGCTGTTCCTTATCCGTGAGGGGCGTTCGACCAACATATTGGCAGGCAAACAATGGTCTGGCATAAGCCGGGAGACATCAACCAAACTTCGGTCAGTCATGTCCACCTGTCCGTAGGCACGATAAATCATAAAATTTCCACATATTAACCTGTATAGCTGGGGATAGGCAGGGAGACATCAACCAAACTCCTGTCAGTCCTGTCTACCTGTCTGTAGGCACCATGAATCCTAAAATTTCCGCATATTAACTCGTATGGTCGGGGATAGGCCGGGAGACATCAAACAAAGTCCTGTCTATTCTGTCTTGCTGTCTGGATCCTCCACAAACTCTTAGATTCACACATATTGACAGCTAGTGATGGCCAGGATAGGCCTGCAGAGGGGAGAGAGCTCGTTTTGCCACTGCAGGTAGCTCAGTTCGGGGTCACTTCAGGTCGCCCGCAGGTTAGGCCGCAGCGGGGAGAAAGTTTGAAGGCTTTGTCTACAGCCTCTGAAAGCAAAGTAGATCTGTGAGACGGTCCTTACAATTTTTGGCCAGCTGCAATGGTGTCGGGCCGTACCTCCTCGGCCATGCCTAGGCTCGATAGCCGTACATGATATACGGTGCACAACCGCTACGCCGTTCATCAAGGGCTGCTTGACTGAAACTATACTCAATACCGCACATGAATCATGCAGCGAACGTATCGCTGAACACGAAAAGAATAATAACATGATACCTCAGGAAGGCTCCCATGATCTACATGGTGTCTCTGTGAACACTGCTGTGAATTAAGCTACCACTGGAAGCATAACGAGGATGGGTGAATGCTAAGTAAGCACCGATAGACACGACATAACCATCAGTCACATCAATCAGCCATGAAGAAGAACCGAACACAGCAAAGGCAACCTTATACCGTGACAAGACAGCTACAAGCAACCTGCAGCCGCCACCGTTCGTCTCTGTAAAGCTTACTTGCGAAAGAATGCCTAAACAAGGCTGGTAGGCAGAATATAGCATGGGGGTCTATGCCGTCAAGTATTCCAGCCAAGTATAGAGCACTGAATCTACCGCAAGTCTACATGCTAGGGCACTGGGACTGCCTACATCTACTTGTCCGTAGCGTGGTAAGTCCCGACCATGCCGAAGATCTATCTAGGGTACTCTAAGCCGTTAGATGATACCGATCTAGATATTCAGCAAGCGAATCTATTCCTATGCTAGCTGGCAGACCCCGGCCGACCGATAATGGTACCTGTAAGGAACAACAAAGAAAGGAGGACCGGACTGCATACCGCCAGACTAGTCGTAGGCTAATTAAGTTGCCGTTAGGGTTGAGTTAGCTGACTATACCGGGTTTGCCGACATGTCACAGCACCGAGAGCACATGTCCCGACAATGG